TAAGAAGTTATGGAGCTGATTAACTTTCCGATAGCCATCTTGCATTCTGGTGGCCATCTTGGAAGTTTGTAGATAAATCTTGTCATCACGATTCCAGAAAAACCACTTTACAGATTTGCTTCAAATTTTCACACTTTATACATTTACATTCACAATTGTCCCTGACTGGTATATATTTTTAGGTTTTATGACTGTTAAATTCTATAGTCTAGTTAACACCACTTTATAAACAGGTTTATTATTACTGGTGTAACTAACACAACGAAAAAAAAATATAATTAATTTATTTGATTTTATATAACATGAAATTATTTTTTCTTTTCGATAAAACATTGCTTATTAGAAAAATATTTAGTTGAAAACTTAGAGTAAACAATCAGTTCTTCTATCACAAAGTTTATTTTGGTTCAGTAGATTTTTCTATACATTATTTTTATGTCACCACCACTAGTGATTGGGTGACATATTGTAATAGCTTCGAACGTTTATCTTGACACTGTTCAGTAGTTAATGTGTACTGTATACTTAACAAGGTGTGGTGACATTTTGCATGTTTCTGCATCGTCACTACTATTGAAAGCTTATGTTGATATTGTAGCAGTGTTTTTTAAGTTCTTTTTGTTGGTACAATTAGTTTCCAAACCCTATACTTATATTGATCTGACACACAGTTTTAGTGCAGGTTTAAGTGATTTTTGTTGATTATTAAACGCAAAGAGCACATGTGTCTCAAACTCGCAACATCGTGGATACAGAGCCCATTCACATAGTTTGACATGCTGGTGCTCTGAACCAGCTCGTTAGTTAATATCTGACTAAGAGACAGCTTGCTTTCCCGATGAAGAAACGTTATCTGCAGCTTTTATGAGTACTATAGTATCTACAACTATTTTTGATCTTATGAGTATTGGATATCATTATTTTCAATTTTTCTTCAACATGTATTTTAATGACTTCAGTATGAATGGAATGTCCCTCGGAGTTGTGGTCCTTGATGAGGAATTGGTCATTGAACGGTGTGGATGCTGTTTATTCCCATATTAGATTATTGTCTTGGGATATTCAGGTTTGATTTTTGTTTGCCAGTTTTACACTTTACAGTTTGCTTTGCCCACTAGGTTGCTTTACACTTTTTTCCTTTGTCATTTGTCATTTTTGTTTATATTTAGTAAGGATATGATACGCAGGTCTCTCCTTCTGTGTGATCACCTGTCCAGAAGATAATTCAACTGCATGAAGAACATTTCGTTGACATGATGCACAGTGAAAGGTTTTCCAAACATTTACATTTTCGTTTAAAAGAGCTTTAATTCCGTTATATACTCAGATCAAGGCCAATTTAGCATACATTTCGCTCTCAAAAATCGCTGTGCAATAATGGATTTCAAAGAAATGTTTGACATTTTCAATAATCTTTTTTCTTTTTGATGAAATGTAGTTATTTATTCTAAAAATCAATCGATGTCATACACAAAATGCATTTAAGTGGTATAAAGTACAGAAGCAGAGTAAAAATATGTATTTTAGAATATCACCATGTGTTACCCCATTGTAGCGCCTCTTGCCCATGTTTCTATCAATATAAAACATGATATCATACACCAAATATGCATTTATGTCAAATTATGTGGTTTAAAATACAGAAAAATGGATAACATTCTCCTTAGAATACCACCTTTTGTAACCCCACTTTACTGCCTTTTGCCCCTGTTTATATCAATATAAAAGGTAGAATGTAACCTTCCTTGTAACATGTGTAAAAGTTTCAAGAAAATCAGTAAAGTGGTTTTCCTGGAATCACAATGACAAGATTTATCCAAAAAAACTTCCAAGATGGCCGCCAGAATGCAAGATGGCCACCGAAAGGTTAATCAGCTCTAGAACTTCTTACCATGTAATATGTGTGAAAATTTGAAGTAAATCCGTTTGGTTTTCCTGAAATCGTGATGACAAGATTTATCTTTAAACTTCCAAGATGGCTGCCAGAATGCAAGATGGCCACCGAAAAAATAATGAGGTCTAGAACTTTTTACCATGTTACATGTGTGAACATTTGAAGTACATCTGTTATATGGTTTTTGTGGAATCGCGACGACAATATTTATCTGAAAAAAATTCCAAGATGGCCGCCAGAATGCAAGATGGCCACCGCAAAGTTAATAAGCTCTAGAACTTCTTACCATGTAACATGTGTGAAAATTTGAAGTAAATCCGTCTAATGGTTTACCTGGAATCGTTGACAAGAAAGTGAGACTTCAGAATGCCACCTTGTCTAACCCCGTTTTGGTGCCTTTTGCCCCTGTTTACATCAATAGAAGAGGTGTTTTCTTTAAGAGGGAAGTCTGTTCTTTCAAACGGCACAATCATTTTATGTGGGAAAGTACCGGACAACAAAACCCCTTTTCTAGAGCCCTTTTGGAAATCAGATCGGGGACTAATTACTCAAAATGATCTTACTGAAAATCTAGAATGATATAAAGCATTAATTAAGATATAATAATTGGCGATGCGTAAAACATTATTCCATATGATTGAAGCAGTGAACCGAATTGGAAACGATGGATTGTGTAATATCACGCGGCTAAACAAAATCTTCACAAGTTTTCACTTGCAATATTCTTTATAAATGTCATGGAGAGATCCTATAACATTGGGACGTAACTTTGTAATGGATGTTTATTTGGATAGGTTGTCAGTAGATAGTAAGGCTACTCAAAATTCAGAACATCTGAGGATAGAAAATGTCACTGGGAAGCTACTAGATTTATGATTCATCATCTCTTTAAAAATGTTTAATCTTAAACAAAATAAACCATTTCTTGTATCACCAAATCACACATTTTGATACATAAATTTTGTTAGAAACTACTGATCGAATACGAAATTATTGAAACAGCTCAGACATCAGACATTATGGATAAACTTTACAACATGGATATGAAAGCTTCTAATCAATCTGCGAGATATATTTTATTTCAGATTAAGTCTCTGTTTTGGTTGATTTTTAAAAGTTATTCAAATAAATATATCAACATTATTCAATATAATTGAAGCAGTGGACCGAATTGGAAACGATGGATTGTGTAATATCAAGGGGCTAAACAAAATCTTCACAAGTTGCAGTATTCACTATAAATGTCATGGAGAGATCCTATAACGTTGGAACGTAACTTTGACCAAGTCATTTTTCCGATTGAGCTCCATTATACAGGGTGTCAAATGGCGTTGTGCCCCCCCCCCCTCCACGGCATAAACTAGGAAAGATACACACACATACCATATACCATTAGAAAGAGCATTTAATTGTTGTTAACATGTGAAAAGATGAAGATGCATGATGGAAAATAAGATATATTTTTAACTTACTTTAAAAAGTGAGTATGACCCCCTTGGGCAGCCTTAACCGCTGCCAATCTAGCCGGATACGAAGCTAAAAGGGAATGGAAAAGGGCTGTGTCTTTCTCAAGAGATTTTAATTAATTTATTTATTTATTTATTTTATTTAAGTGTCATGGTTAATAAATACAATAAAATTTCATAAAACAACAATAACCCAGGCCGTCATCGACCTATAAGACACTGGCATGTAAAAATTCAATAAATAGCAATAGTGATTAATTAAAAGTCTGTAAAATTATCTAAAAATAGCACATTCTCTTAATTTTAACATCCGTCCACAGGCTCTGGCAACGTGTAGGTAGATGCGTGAGTCACTCATGAGTTTTAAAAATTGAATGTCAGAGTCTAATGCCTGAAAATTGCATATTATATTTGTTACTTTCTCAAGCAACTCAAGTCTGACACAATTATAAGCGTTACACGTCATCAATACATGGTATTCATCCTCTATTCCATTGTTGCACATAACACATTGTCTCTCCTCGAGAGGCAAACGTTCATATCTTCCCGTCTCGATCCTAATCGGGGCTACACCACATCGTAGTGAAGCAAACGCTCTCCGGTCCCTGATAGACAGGCTCGACTTCAGATATGGTTCACAATTACAGTCGTTTTTAAACAATCTAAATGTTCTCAATTTGTTACGTTGTCTAGGATCCCGTCGGGTATCATTCCAGATGTTTTCTCTCAAAGAGGTGAACTGAACATCGATCAATTTATTCATAATTGTATCCAAAGGGTCATCAAACTGTAAATTCAGATCATTGGTAATAATCCGTTTTAAATTGAAGAACCAGTTAGCCTTGTTCCGAGTCGTACCAATGCTGACGTTCCAGTTATATATCCTTCGCGTGATCCTATTTTCATCCAAGGCAATGCATCTGTCCCTGTATTTTACCGCCGAACGAATCTGATGCACAAATGGTCTTGTCCAGCCCATTTCTGCGGTGACAGCCATATTAGGGGTATATTTCCCTAAACCAAGGAAGACACGGCACGCGCGATGGAACACCGCATACCCGTACTGACCCGTACTCCAAAACAGGCCTGACTAGACTGTTAAGATGAAAGGTGGGTATAACATTCATAGGGCAGTCCACCCATATCCTTGAACTTCGCTATCAGTAGACCCAGTGCTCGACTTCCAGCTGCGGCTACGGTCTTAGCCATCTCAGAGAAGTCCAAAAACTGGTTCATCCAGATACCAAGATATTTATACCGATCTACAACATCGACCTGTTGGCCCATGTAAATAAACTTGGTGTTAGATCTTGGGATACGCCTAGGCCGATAATGCACGATATTAGTCTTCTTGATATTCACCGTAAGTCGCCACTTGGAAGCCCATTCACCTAACGCGTTCAACATCCGTTGTAAACCTTCCTCGGACTTCGCTACAAGTGCTACATCATCTGCGTATAGCAATATCGATATCTGCTCGCCGTTGTCCATGTGAATGCCGTCACCTAATGCCTTAATCGTGTCCGTTAAATCATTAACGAATATATTGAACATTAGGCAAGATGTTAGACAGCCCTGTTTCAATCCAGAGTTAATAGAGAAAGAATCAGTAAAGTAACCGTTTATATTAATGCAGCTCCTTACGTCCTTATACAGGGCCTTAATACTTTTCGGAGGTTCTTGAGCAGGGCATCTTTAGAATATCTGTTCTCTGCAGCTTCAGTGTCCATAAGTTGCTCTGTTTTATCCATTAATATGGACCCCATGTGCTCTGCAGCATTCGGGTCAGGGCTGTTGCTCGGGTATTCATCAATACCAAAAAGGTCTATGCCAGATTTCTTCAAAAGATCTTGTGTAGCACTGGCTTTAAAGCATGGAGCTTTGTCATGTAGTAATGTTGTTTGTGAGGTCTCAATTACATTATCCTTGTTTTTAAGAAATGGTATTACCTTTGTTCTGAGTATGTCCTCACTGAAATATTCTCCCGTCCATGAGACACCATCATCCTTTATTACCCACAGCATTTTTTTCACAGTGAAAAGCAGAAAAATCCCTACGCAAATTGGTCGCGCCATCTTCTCACGGATTAGGAGTTCAGATACATCCTCTCGTTTGTACGCCCAAATCCTATCATTTTAATGATTTGGCTTTCCTACTGTATAGATGTAAAACTCGTCTGAGGGAGCCAAATGGAGAAAATCCTCGTCCCATTGACGGAGAAAGTTCACAAACCACAGTCTGTCCTCAATCTGCTCTGTTGTTTTCAAAGGTTTCGAAATAATGTGAAATGGTTTGAGCCCCTTTCTTACTCTGAATAGATGAACCATTTGATGAGAAACGTCTTTTCCTCTCAACCTTTTGATCTCTTTTGCAAGCTCTCTACAACTTTTTATCTTCTTAGCAGTTCCTTTTAGTATTATTTGTGTTGTCTTTCGAGTCAAAGTGTTTGACTTAGGTCCTGGTCTTTCCTGTGGTGTGATTTCAGAATATGTTTTATTCCAGTATTTTTGAACGAATTTTTCAGATCGAAGGAGTTTATTTGCTATCCATTTTTTCGTAATGAAACTAGCACCCTCATCTCGGGCTTCTCTATATGCAATAAACCTTATTCTGTCTCTATATTGCTGATTATCATCATCAGAAAGTTGTTTTGTCATTTTATTTCAACTGTGAACTAGCTTTAGTCTAAATGAATAAAATAAGGCACTACACTTTACAGTCAGCCACTTCTCAAAAATCAATGAAATAGAGCACTACACTAGTACATTTCAAATGCATGTGACACTATGTAGCAATATCTGACCTAGGTCATCTAGGGTTTATTTTATCCAGAATTGAATGCTCTTTTCAATGACATACATAATGTGTAGGTACCTTTCTAAGTTTATGCTGTGGAGGGGGGGGGGCACAACGCCATTTGACACCCTGTAGATGTAGAAATTCAAAATCAATGTTTCTAAATTGTACAGGTGAATGGATGTTTATTTGGATGGGTTGTCAGTAGATTGTAAGGCTACTTAAAATTCAGAACATCTGAGGATAGAAAATGTCACTGGAAAGCTACTAGATTTAGTGTTCATCATCTCTAAAAATGTTTAATCTTAGACAAAATAAACCATTTCTTGTATCAACAAAATCATTCATTCTGATACATGGATTTTGTTTGTAGCTATTGATCGAATAAGAAATTATTGAAACAGCTCAGACATCCCACACTCCGAGACATATTTTTTTATTATGGATAAACTTTACTACATGGATATGAGAGCTTCTAATAAATCTGCGAGATATATTTTTATTTCAGATTAAGTGTCTGTTTTGGTTTATTTTTAAAAATTATTCAAATAAATATATCTAGATAAAGCGCTTGAGCACTAACAATGTCATGCTCCAGCAGTTCACAAAAGTACACGTTCCAACCTCGTAAACAAATCTTTGTTTTTTCTCGTTTAACCAACAAAACTATCTAGTTTATTTTGTCTGCATGATATCTGAAGTAAATATATGAAATTAATAAAATTCAAAGTTGATTAAAGTAATTTTTGGGAATAATATTGCCTATAGCAGCAATAATAAGCAAATATTCATTCTATGAAGGGCAATACCCGATGCATGGTTCTCCCAGGCCCACATTCTTGTAGATATAATTGAAAGTGCAATGTCCATTGCACATACGTAGTCTGAAAATATATGTCTTACTAACTCATTCATTTATTTTCTGGGCATTCCCTATGAAAAGAATCAACGGTTATTACCTCTTTTATCAATTTCCACAAAGGAGTGGGGGAAAATGTTTAATGCGTTTTGGCATTTTTGATCACATTGTACAACATTGACTAATCAGAGTTTGAAAATTCTAGTGAATGTTTTATTATCTTATACCTAGCTACATATAAATGACAGGCCATTTTCTCTCTTTGTCGCTTTATTCAGCTTGCTAAAACACAGTTGTCATCCTTAAAAAGGATGTTTTATAAATGCACCGTGTCTGCCTGACAGTTAATGCAAATTAGATTGAATCTTACAGTAGGAAACAATGAGATTGATTTCGTTTTTTATATTTTTAAATGCCATTATGGTTCATAATAAATCTTAGTGTTTTTTCAAAATTGCCTATTTAATTATGAAAAAAACCTTTTCCTTTAATGGCTGTAACGTGAACACTGCTGAACTGATTTGGTTCAAGGTTCAATTGGATAATCATTTTGCAAGAATTTGAATTTGAAAAGACGTTAAGACTCCAGCACCTTTTTATGTTCCAGTCACATAATATTGGGGCCATATTGTCAGTATTGTCGAATCTTACCTTAAAGATTTTGCAGCTCTCTGCGGTCCGTTCGCTGACATATACAGACAATTACAGAGGTTAAAATCGCCAACTACCCAACAACTTTTGTATAATTCATTTATTAAATGAGTGTATAATGTATAACACCGATGATACATATGGTTTGACAGCAGGTTTGCAATATGAGATCTTCTGAAACACTGAGGGCATATCAGAGTTGACAGTTCTTGACAGCAGGAAGGAAATTTGACATCACAAGAGGCTCCGAGGGCATATCTGTTTTGACAGGTAGTCGAATTGACATCTTCAGAGGCAACGGGGGCGAATCGATCTGTGTGAGAGATAAGCTTACATAATATAATATCATCTAATGCACCGAGGGTATCTGGAGTGACATCAGGTAGGCAATGTGACATCACTGAAGCACCAAGGGCATATTTGGTGTGACAGCAGGGAGGCTTTGTACAAAAAACCTCCTACCTCATACCCACCTACCCGCATACGTGGGACCTGATACCGTCTTTGAAGGGTTCAATTTTAAAGATCCGAGATTATTAAATCTTAGTTTATGATGAATTATAGATGCATTTGTAACGACCCTTGATAGCAAGTTGCTACTACATCTCGGCTGGGTTCGATTCTCACTCGTGGCATCGAATTTAGCACACTTTCTTTTAATTTCTTTATCTGGCTTGTTGGACCTATGCTCGCGGTCATTAATTATTTATTGCCCTGGGGCGCCCTCGAGTCATTATACATTAAAACGCATCCATATGCCTTTATTTATGGATCTGTCATTTGTCTGGTCAAAAATAAAGCCGGAATTGTAGAAATGTTAATAATTTGTATTTTGAGATTAAATAATCTTTAAAATTGAACCCTTCAATGACTGTATCATGTTCCACGTAGGTGGGTATGAGGTAGGAGGTTTTTTATACAAAGCCCACCAGGGAGGCAATATGACATTTTCTTAAGCCCCAATGGTACATTCTTTTGTGACAGCGGTATATAATATGATATCATCTAATACGCCAAGGGCGTATTCGATGTGACAGCAAGTAGGCAATATGACATTCTTAAATTAAGCCCCAATGGCATGTTTTGTGTGCCAGCAGGTAGGCAATATGTCATCTTATTAAGCCCAAATGGCATATTTTTGTGACAGCAGGTATATAATATGGTATCATCTTATACGCCAATGGCATATTTTGTGTGACATCAGGTAGGCAATATGACATCACATGTAGCACCAAGGGCGCATATTCGATGTGACAGCAAGAAGGCAATATGACATCATTTTACGCCCCAATGGCATATTTGCTGTGATATCAGGTTTATATTATGATATCATCTAATGCACCGAGGGAATATCTGGTGTGGAAGCAAGTAGATAGTATATACCAGGTCGTTCAATAAGTTCACGGAAAAATGCTCTCATTTCAAAGACTCTTGATATTTTCCCATAAAATTTTCACACAATGTTTAAAAAATACTTTCTGATTGATTCTTAAACTCTCAGCATCTCTAATTAGATTGGTCAAAAATAAGAGTTTCTATGGTAACTTGACTTTTGGGTAGGCGGGGCACTTTTTACGTCACACAATTTACCATTACAGAAATCTATCAATATATGCAAGGAAAGGATCTCTATTTTTTATTTGTTCTTATTCAAATTACAAATTTTTGAGGGAAAATTGATGTTCATTGTTTTCAAGAACATTTCTGAAATCGTGCTAGTCAATGCTGTACCAGTGGACCAGAAAATCAACAAAGTAATGCTATGGTAAGTTGATTAAAACTTCCATTCTGCCGAACTCTGAATTTTTCCATCAGAATAATGCAGCCGATCACACTGCTAATATTGTGCAGGAAACCATCGCAAATAACTGGCAAAATAGATGGCAAAGCTGCCCCAAGTTACATACTCTAGATGAAACAACTTTGATTTTGCTGTTTTCACTAGGATGAAGGATCAGCTAAGAGGTGCACTTTATGAAACAATGAAACTACTTTCGACTGCAGTCCAGATTGCCCTTCAAACAAGTTTTCCAGATGGTTTCAGAGCATTGTCTTGTCAATGGCTTGAATGCAATCTACTGTGCATTAAACATGAGGGAGAATATTTCTAAAACCTTATGGGACAATAGTTGTTACTATTATTACATTAAGTAATATGTACAAGTAGAAAGCGGAGAAGAAATTCATGTGATATACTCATAAATTGCCTCCTATTCTGTTGTTTTTCTAATGAACAATGTGACGTAAAAAGTGCCCCGCCTACCCAAAAGTCAAGTTACCACAATAACCCTCATTTTTTACCAATCAAGTAAGAGATGCTGATATTTTAAAAATCCCCTAAATCCGCCGTTATGGCAATGGCAATGAGAAATATGAGTAGATAAAATCTACCGGAATCAATAAATCGAAGTAGGAAGAATGAATTTTCACAGGATTTATCACTAAGCTAATGGTAAAACTGTAAGGAAAACGGCCTGAAATAAAAGGAGAAATAGTTCGGCGGAAAGTGAATACCAGAAGTAGGTAAAAAACAACAGCAATTGTAAAGAGAGAATCAGCAAGCAGGCTAAACAAAAAATTGTCTCAATTTTAAAATATTTTTGGCTTATGTCATTCCTTGTCATGTCTATTTTCTAAAAATCACAAAAGTGCATACTTTATTCAAGGATAACTAAAGATTTTTAAAATAATGTATTATTTTTCTATAAGAATGGTTACCATTCTTATTATTTGGGAGAATTTAAACATTTTCCACCCATTTTTGCACTTTGAATCATTAATAACTTCACCAATTTATAACATATTGTGAATCTTTTGGGAGATATTGTATTTAATATTGTAAGGAATAGATTGGTAGGTCAATTATAAAAGTTGCTTGTAATTTGTCATCCCTATAGATCTGATCCTGCCTTTAATATCCGCTCAAATTCACAAAATTATAGTAATGCCTGGGTCACATTTGCTCCGATCCATCGGCTGGCCCCGGCCGATTGAGTGTTTTGTTCAATATTGTATTCAATTTCGAACAAAATACTCAATCGGCCATGCGCCGTAGTGAAAATCGGAGCAAATGTGACCAAGGCATAACCATCCTCGTTAGATAAGCAATCGTAGAACATGGAAAGTAGAATAAGTAAGTTTGAAAGCTTAAGACGCTAGTTGCAATTAAAGATTGAACAAAGTCATATTTTTCGATTCTGACATGTCATTTCGTTCGCTCATCATAAACCATTCCCGGGAGGGCTATTTTCACTATTTTCTGTTGACAATCGATTATGTATCGATCCTTTTGCTTGAAGATTAACAAAGGTTAGGATCTTTGATTAATCAAGATGACGAATGGCAGACATGAATTAAAGTTTTGACTCTCTGTTAGAAATATCTGTAAGAATATAAAACGGCAGAAGTATTTTCCCATCATGGATGGTTGGAATCAGCGACTCACCCCTCATCATTTCGGTAATGGATATGTATTTTTGTTGTATTTACAGTAGACG